AATGACCTGAAAGTTTTGTTTGCAGTTATCATAGTGCCATCTCGTGGAGGACAGCCATAGCAGTGGAAGATCCATTTAAAACACATCTCTTCTGAATCTTCTGCAAATGTCACATTTAATTAGAACTTATCAATTCAGCAGACATTTTGGAAGATTTAAAAATAGATTCTGGTAGAATATCCATGCTACAAGAAGGGGAAGACTTTATATGCCATTTAAATCTACAGGTTCAGTCTCGCTTATCTAAAATGCTTGGGACCAGAAGTGTTGGGGGAGTGGATTTTGGAATATTTGCATATACATAATGGAAAATGCTTAGGACCAGAAGTGTTGGGGGAGTGGATTTTGGAATATTTGCATATACATAATGAGATATCTTGGAGATGAGGCTCAAGTCTAAACATGAAATTCATTTATCTTTTGTATATACCTTATACATATGGCCTGAAGGTAATTTTATACATAATATGAAGCAAAGTTTGTGTACACTGAAGCATCAGAAATAAAAGATGCCACTATCTCAGCCTCCCATGTGGACAATTTTGGATTTGGGATTTTGGAATTCCAGATGAGGGATATTCAACCTGTAGTGGAATTGTTAGTCTGACCATGTTCATTTTTATTTGAGCAAGCTTGAACTCTCTCCCTAGGAGCCAAGATGACTAAACTGAGACTGTTGTACTTTGGAGATATCACAAGAAGACATGGGTCACTAGAAAAGGCGATAATGCTTGTAAGATGGAAGGCAGTAGGAAAAAAAGGAAGACCACATTCCAGATGGATAGAATCAATGAAGAAAGCTGCAGCCATAATTCTTCAAGACCTGAGCAGGGCAGTGGATGACTGGGTGACTTGGGCATTTCTCATTCATGAAATTGCCATACGTCAAAGTCAACTTAACAGCAGTTAACAACAAGCAAAAGGATCCAACTTTGCACAGGTTGAAATGGCAGCAACTGGTGGCTTCCGTGTTACTGAGGCAATGAATCCACTCCATACCAGCACCTGTATTTGCTGGTTTGCTATCCAAGTACTAACCAGGGCTGACTCAATTTAGATTCCAAGATCAGAAAATAATCTGGTGCTTTTAGGGTATTTGGGATGTGTATGTGTATGTGACTTGAAGTCGCCTGTGAGAGCTCTTCAGGTGTTTTTAAGATGGATGCCATATTGCTTCTTCACCATTTCTTCTCCAGGCAAAACAAATCCAGCTCTTTCAACTTTTCCCCATAAAACTTGGCAATATTAATGTAGTACTTAAATTACCCAAGAGATATAAAATGCTTTCTCTTTTGATTTCATTATGTTTCTCAGATTCTGGATTTTTTTCCCTGTCCTTTCTTCTGGTGAATCTACACTGTAGAAATAATGCCATTTGACACCACTTTAAGTGTGGTAGCTCCATCCTATGGAATCCATTTTATCTAGTGCATGCATTTCTTCCCTTTTTGTGCATATTTCTTCCCCCAACCTGAATGTATTTTTAGCTGTTCGGATTTCAAAAAGTGCAAATTTCTTTTAAGAGCACTTTATTTCTTGCAACACCGCATAAGCCTCACAAAAGTGTGAATTCTCAAGGCAGAGTGTGTTTCATCTTGGAATGCATCAAGAGGTACAGAGAGGCTGCTTTTGTTCACACTGTTAAATCCAGTGAAGATTTTCTCCATCCCCAGTTGAGCAGTGTATGGAGAATATGGGGTTGTACCCCAGACTCTTCGTGATGGGGATGGCAACATTTGGCTACAAATAAGAGGAGTCAAATCTCAGACTGCTGAATTTAATGAACCCACTTACTCTCCCTCCCCAAGAATGCAAACACTAAATTAATATCTTATGTGATCTGCTTCAATGGCAGCTGGTCACTTCCATGTCAGTGGGGCAGTGAATCCACTCTGAGTTTAAATTTGAACTTTACAAGAGATAACTGTTAAATTTGTAGCAGCTCTTTTTAACTTTTGTAAGTCACCTTGCACCTCAGATCAGGAAAAAAGACAGAATAAAGACATTACCATCAGCATCTCCAAAGTGATGAACCTTGGATAGTCCAGCACCTTGGATAGTTCCTTTTAAGTCTGGACTAAAGTGTGGCATGGATTTAGTGACCCATTGACATGGAAGCAAGCCATCAGCCACCATTGTTCCGTTTTCTGCATGCAACAAGGAAGGTAATAGAGGTTGGAGACCTGTCCCACCGTTTCCCGACAAAATGCATTTTCATAATCCAGCCCTATTCTTTTTCTGAGTGATTGTAGCGGCTTGTTAAAGTGATTGCTACCACCTTTCAGCACTAATCATTCCTATTGTGACTCTGAAAAGAAACCAGTGTGTATATTAGGCCCAGGCCAGATGAGCAAAGCCAACTGGACAATGGCAGCTAATGCATTCTGCCATGCTGGATTGCTCCAACCTTTCTCTGAGGTTCTGTACCATTATAGCCCATAATCCCTCGGCTATTAACTCCCACCTGCCACACAGCTTGCAACTGCCAAGGTAGAATTTCCAGCTCTCTTTTTAGCAGCTGCCTATTAATGGCACTTTGAAGAAGGAGTCCGGCGTAAGACAATCAGCAATAAGAGTCACTGGAAGGAGAAAAGGGAATAGATCCCACATCTAGCAACAGCTGTGTCTCCAAGGTTGGAATTTTGTGTGCATTTACTCTGGAGTAAGTCCTACTGAACTCTGGAAACTCAGGAGGCTGTGCATTGAAAGGGAAGGAAGACCACACAACCATGCACACACACACACACACACACACACACACTGAGTACTGTCACTTGCAGAGACAGAATGGAAAATAAATTGGTTGGGAATTGCTATGAAAAGATCCATTTTTCTCCTCCCAAGACTGCTGGCCAGGTACAGCACAGTTTGCCCAGAAATATGTATATTTCTGAGATGTGTAATGCAATTGTGTGAAGAACATGTTTGTAAAATCCCTCTGTACATTTGGGGGGAAAAAACTTACCCACAACTAAAATGGATTTGGAAAAGAAATGCACCAGATGACATTTTAGTCAATGGTCACAATGTATAAAAAATGCATGCAGTAAGAAAAAAGATAAAAAGGGGAGAAATGGATATGAGATATTACAGATTTCCAGACAGATTTGGGCTAGAATTCTAGGACTCTTTCACACTACCCAGTTATAGTGCTATGATTCCAGTGTAAATGTCATGGATCCACCAAATGGAATCCTAGGATCAACAGTTTAGGGAATGGCATTGAGTCAGAGAGCTCTAGTTACTCACCAAACTCCAAACATCTAGATTTCACAGAATGGAACCATTGCATAGTTAAAGTAGAATCATAGTGCTATAATTATTTAATGTGAAAGGGCCCCTTTTGGTGTCTTATGTGTGCAAAAGCTCCCCTAAAGAAGCAGGTGGACATTTTGGTCCAATATTCAGAAACAGAGTTGTGCATGTACCCACTGCTTCACATGCCAATGTGAGTTGCAGATGGATACACAGTGCACGTGTGGAAGCACACAACACATGGATGTGCACTGTGCATGCAGAGGTGCATAGACATTCATATTTAGGCAAACTTTTGGTGTGAAAATTTTACTTATGTAGTGTGTTTGTGTAATTGGTATGCTATTTTTAAAGCTTTAATGTTTTTCACTTTTTAAAAAATGGTTCTAACTATGCTATATTTTTAACTGTGATGCTTTAACTTTAGTATTATTTAATTATTTCTAACTTTTGTAATTCATGATCCATCTTTTAAAGTCATTGTGAGCTGCCTTGAATCCCATTTTGGGAGAAAGGTGGAATAGAAATCCAATACATACATACAAACATACACACCTTGTGTTATGTGTATTCAGTTGTGAAGCATTGCAATTCAACACAAGTGCAAAGCACAATTAATGCATTACTACTTCACACATGGAGATTTTGGATTTGGCTTTTACAAACTCCCAGGAACTTCCAAGAAATCCAAGCTTTTGATTTTG